GGCAAGAGACCATTTTGATTCATAAGCTATCTGATCTTTATAAAAGTTAACAGTTGATAATGGCCGAATATCAACTTCAACCTTATTTATCCACCCTACTTTTCATGTACTAGGCTGGTGTCTTATGGCTTCAAGAAATGGCTATAACTAAGCCTGGACTCCATACTTCCCCTACTCTAGCTGTCTATATTCATGTTGCAACCCCTACCATTCACTACGTAATATGTTTTAAAAATGGGAAGGCACAAGGGATCAAACACAGACTGGAGGGACTAGAAAGAAATCTCTAGACCAAATAATCAACCCTTCACCCTTCGTCACCATCAAGGTAAGGTAGCTTTCTATATCAATTCTTCATGCTCTTCAAGTAGGAAAACATTTTTGTCCCTTTCTTTTACCAAGTCTAACGACCTGATTTTTTAGATAACTACTGAAAATCCATGTGGAAACAAAATCTTAAAGTGTTCTTTATTCAAAAACAAAACCAGTTGTCCAAATGAATATCAAATACTCAGTATTCAATATTCTTATTTATTATGCACGTCAATTAAAGGACTTTTTTTATCTAAAAAAATTTGTTGAAGGTCATTTTCGCAACTTGTCTTGTTAGAAACTTTCCCTTTTCTTTTTATGTAACATGGTAAGTGTATTTCAAAGAGAGTAATACTAATGTTACGACTAGCTCAGACCTTCATCACATATGCAACATTAATTGTTTCCATAGTATGTACCAGAAGAAGATGAGATCTACATACCATATCCTGCTTATTTGCAAAGACCAATATGACACTATTCAGCATAAATGGATCGTTAATGATGGCCTGAAAGAAAAATCACATATCAGCCAATAAAGAGTTGCTCACACTGCCATACTTAAATGCACGATGAAGCTTGGGCTATAACCTGAAATTCTGTTTTTGCCTTTCCAATTCTCTCTCGGTCCATGGAGTCTACCACATAAATCTGCATGAATAAAGCTGTAAGTACATGGACTTGTTTCTGTCAGATGAATATTAGGTGAGACTGTAAGATAATCTTAGAATAATTTATAAGACACACAATGATGATAGGCTCTTTGAACAAGAAAGGAAGTCAAAGCATAAACAATAACTCCATAATGATATTTTATAGTCTACAATCAAACTGAATGTTGAAAAGAAACCTGAAGAATAAACAGCCAAATTACTATAACTCATTGACATCCAGTACTAATAGTAATAATTACCAGTCCATCTGTGTTATTAAAGTAGTGCCTCCACAATGGCCTCAGTTTCTCTTGTCCTCCAACATCCCAAACAGTGAACACAACATTTTTATGCTGGACTTTCTCCACATTGAAACCTACATGAGGAAAATGAAAAATCAATTTACTACCACATTGACAGAAAAAATCCAAACATCTATGAATGCCATAAAAAACATCAACAGTAATAATGACACAAAGAATTGAAATAGTTATTAGCATGACACCAGAAAGATAAAAAAAAAAACCCATACAAGAAGCTAGATGAACCATGCTACCATTTGAGAGATACAAGGTCTTATGAGTATTCCTTTGGACATATTAAGTTTGGTTGATAATTCTACAGGAGGTACAATTATCTATTAGCGAGGATGCAATTATGGCTTCTTTTGTTCTCTCTTCAGCCCCTCACACTACCTTCCCCCCTCCCTCTCTCCATTCTCAATCGTTCCTACTCTCTACACAAAAAGAACTTTTGAGATTTACTTAATAAGGATACCACTTTCGTTAACAAAAATGAATGAACAACAACAGAAACCATCGTAAAGAAACACAGACCCAGCCTCCGAAAACAGGAAGACTCCCACAAACTTGATAAAACCCTATTGTGAGGTTTATGGAAGAAACGAAATACCGGACTTTTTTAAGATAAATGAAGTTCATGAAAGAAAGCCTAGATCTCTTATAAGTCTCTTTCCTTGTCATCTGGCATTGTCCTTGATTTAGGGAAGAACGTACTAGCTAGCACAAAAGCTATGATTCCACAAAATGGAGATATAAAAACTAAATCAAAAAGTTTTGTGGTAAAATCCCTATTTGAGTTTTTTTGGTTTAATTGTGAAGAACCTACCAATTGTAGGAACCGTCGATAAAACTTCCCCAATGTGCAGCTTGTACAATATAGTTGTCTTGCCAGCTGCATCCAAGCCAAGCATGACAACCTAAACCGCTCAAGAAAAAGGAATAAAATACATGATAATTTGTAAATAAGCAGATAAAAGATAATAGAGTATCTAAAAGGCAATATAGAAATGTAATCCACGAGTTCGCCCTAGCCAAATAAAGTGAATAGGGTAAAAGCCCAAAACTGTTTAGACAACTATTATTTAAGCTTTTTCTCAGGAGCATCCTATTACCAAGGCAATTATAGGTAAATGCAGTCAAATCTGATACGCTTAGAAAGAACTAGCAAATTGATTACAATATTGCAGAGGATCGGGCTGAAGCATTCAAATTAACTAAATATCATCGTAATCTTTTGAGCTTCTTTAGATAAAGATTTTCCAAACTATTCTTCTGTATAATCAATAGTAACAATGTGTGGATTTTGGTATCTCTCTTTGGATTGTTGTTAATATTGTAAGAATGTTGTGGGTTCAGAAGATATAGAGCAGGCGAAAAGCTATCAGATGTATTGTACAACAATATCAACGAAAAATTGTTTTGCTTTCAAAAAAAAGTAAAAGAAAAATAACTAAAGATCAAATTTATAATTCTTAAAAAATCAAAGACCTGTGAACCGTGATTTTCGAACACATGTTACCTTTCTATAAAATAAATCATAAAAACTACTATGCAACAACTTTTTCCAGAATAAATATACTGCTACACCTCTTACTTGGGTCGAATGGAAATGTTAAACTATCCCTAGAAATCAATCATGATTGCCGAGAGCAACAAATTAACACCTACAACTACTAAACTGGGTCACAAATGAACCATTTCCCCATAATATAAGGTTTGAGCAATCAATCATGAATCCATGAGACTAAGTTCTTGAACAAGTAAAATTGTAAAGAATTTCCGACTCAGAGACCAACATCGATGAGTTTTCAGAAGTCCCACTGTCCCAAAGTTCGATTACAACCTCCATCTCAAATTAGACATCAAACATAACCAATATATGATTGCACTCGCTATAACAAGAGAAACCCTATAACCAGAAGAAAATTTAAATTACTCAGAACTAGTATTAGCCAGATGAAACCAAATCATTTCACCAAAACTTCATGCAGTTCCCAATCCCACTAGCATTCAGCTCTATGGCAATAAATAGTACCGCTAAATACAGAGTAAACCAATCGAAAGGATTATGTAAACATCGGCCAACAATCCTAAGCCATCCGTGAGACAAATTGAACACCAGAATATAACAGAAGAAATCAACAACTGGCAGTAATAAACAGGATCAAAAAATTAACCACGTAAAGATGCCAAATCCAATTCTAACAAATACTTCAGAAAAACAACAAATTAGAGAACAGTATAATACCCGCATCTCACTGTTGCCGAAAAATGTGTCGAAGAGTTTCCGAAACGCTTGACCCATCTTGGCCCGATTCCTGGCTTCAACTCCCGATCTCTGTGGCTAAGTCTGAAAAATGCTTTGCAGTTTTCTTGGTTTCCTTTCAGAGAGGGAAAAAAAATGGTGAAAACTGGAAGAGAATCAAGAGAATGTTCTGTGAAGAAACCTTCAAAGAAGAGTAGCGTCAGAATTTTATTTTTTTATTTTTTATTTTTTATTTTTTTGAACAAAATATGATTAATATTTTAAATTTAAATATTTTTAACTAAATTTCATGCAATCAAATCAAGTGCTAATTAATGATATATATATATATATATATATTGTTTTTTGTATAAATTTAAAGTAACGTATTATATTAATATTAAAATTATAATTTTCCACTTGCAAAAAATTACGTAATATATTTTTATAGATTATTTAATTGAACCATGTTGTAATTTTTATAATACAATGTCACGTCTATATAAAATATAATATTAATGATATTATCTTATAAAGGCTATTATAATTATATAATAATGCTCCATACTCATCCTAATAAAATTAAATTTTCTTTTAAAAAAAGTTATTTTAGTTTTTTTTTTCAACTTTAATATTGTTTAGATTTTTAATTTATTTGTAATTTTATTTTGAATACACTTAATTAATTGATTTTGGACTAACAAATTATATAATTTATTGTTTAGTTTATTTAAATATATATTTAGTTCATTTTACAAATAAACACTTATTACACTAATTAAATTATTATTTACTAAAACTATTATTGTTTGCCTAATATTATCTTCAATATGTTTAATTGGTTACTTGGGATTAGCTAAATTCATTTATAATTAAATACTTTTTAAAATTTATTATATATCATAATTTTCAAATTAAATTAATAATTAATTATAATTAAACAAATTTATTTAATATTATTCTATTGCAATAATTAAATAATCGTATATTTATTTGATGTGTGTTTATTACTAAAAAAAATACCAATTAATCAACTTATTTACAAAATATCATTTATTCATTTCAAAACATATTTAATTTAAGTAAAAACATTATATTTAAATAAATATATAAAATATATAATTTCGTTGAGACTTAGAGACAATGGTCAAAGAAAGTCCTAAAGTTGGCACGTGTGAAATCAATTTCCTGACAGTCAAAACCGAAAGAAAAAAAGTAATAAAATAATTAATTTAATATTTACTTATTTTTTATATTTTCAAAATTTATATTTTCTACGTAATTTCGTAGATTTTAATATTATTATTTAGTATCTCAAACATTAAATTCAAATCAATTTCGAAGACGGACGTGAACCATGTTATTAACCAAAATCTATACTTTCAATTTCCCAAATATAATATTAATTATCTATTAAACTTTTTCATCTTAATTTTCTCTTTTTTTCTGATTTAATTTTATTTAATTTTTTCCATTCCTTTTTTCTACTTTATTTATTTCTCCTCATTTCCTCTGCAAAACCCTAATTTTCTACATCTCGAAAAAATTTCTGTGATTGTTCTGTATTTTTTGGAATTTTTTTCTTGTATTTCTGAGATTTTTTTTACTGTTTTTTTTTTTTTTTTTTTATAATTTTTACGATTATTGGAGTAAGTGATTTGTTGGATTTTTCCTAAACTGGAGCTTTGAGTAGTGGTCTGTAATGGCGGAGATTTAGGATACTGAGAAGAAACTGAGTTGAAATTGTTGTATGGAAGCTCTGGTTCTTGATCTACAAGTAATTCTACTGGAGCTTTTGGTTTTGGGGATTGGTGATAGGTTTTGGATTTCATTTCACTTCATTGGCCCTGTTTATGTGTTCTTATTTCATCGTCTTCATCAATGAAACCTTCTTCGTCGGTGTGTTTGTAAAATATTGTATCGGAAGTTTGTAAACCGAAGTATGGAGGTTTAAGAAGCGGTTACGTAGTTTTGTTTTGTAACCAATTTCTTTTCTAGGCTGTAAAAATGGAGGAGAAAGAGGGTGTTGATTTCGGATTTGCATTAAAAGTGAGCCAAGCTTCAGATAGCTTCGGGATGATGGATTCGAGACCTGAAAATACAAGCACGGACAGCGAGCCACCTCCTCCGCCTCCGCCGCCGACGACGGCGACGGTGGAAGCAGCTCAGACGCTGGCGGGTACAGATGGAAAGAAGAAAAGAGGGAGGCCGAGAAAGTACGGACCCGATGGGACTGTAGTGCCAACATTGTCGCCAATGCCGATTTCATCATCGATTCCGTTGACGGGAGAGTTTCCGGGATGGAAACGGGGAAGGGGGAGGTCAGTAGAATCGCTCAAGAAGTCGCGGAAGTACGATTATGAGATTCCAGGTAAAATATCAATGGTCTATATATTTGGAATCATTTGATTTGAAATTCTGTTGGAATCGTTGGATCATTTGAAATTCTGTTATGCTGGTTTACTTTACTTGTGTTTACTGTTACATTTGAGTGCCGATCCGTTTGATAGCAACAACTAATATGGATTGAAATCAGCTGTAAAACTTCGATATATATACTTTTCTCTCTCTCTCTCTTTATTAGTGTGAGAGAATCTCTGTACTTGCAGGAAAAGATAAGAGGGGTCGGTCTAGTTATCTGGCGTAGAAAGCGATGGTTTTGAACGTATATTTGTGGGTCTTGTACCGTAGAATTATGAGGGGTTGTTGTTTATTGGGTTTCGATGTGATAGTGGACTGCATCGTTGGGTTCACTTCAGATCTGCCGCAAATAGTACTTAATGGATCAAAAGTGACTTTGGAGCTTTCTGGAAACTGGAGGGAACTTTCCTCCTTAGGATAGGGATAGCCTTTGAGAAAATGGCCATTGTTTGGAGTTTGGACGTGAGTGACCTGCTGTTTATTATGAACAGAAAATCTGTAGTCTAACACGGATTAAACTTTCCGAACTGAACTGCTTATAATGAACTGAAAATGGAAGGAAAATGCATGGTACGTTATTATGGAAAGAGTTTTTTTTGGAAATTTCAAATGAAAAAACTGTAATTGGGAGATGAAATGATTTAGAGCATGTGGGTAACTGTTATCTGTTGGTGGTATTAGGTAATTGAAATTAGTGCATTTTTTGTAACTGAAGAATATGGAAAATATTCTTATATTATCTGAAATCTGTAACATCTTGATTAAGATATTCTGGAGTATTAGTTTAATTGGTAGTGGATGAAGCGAGGAAGGTGAATATTAATTGATTGAAAATAAATAATCATGAAAACCCCATTTTATTCCCTTTTTCTGTTCCCTTAAATGGAAAACTAATGCCTTACATCATGAAAACAGAGTATGGCTCAACAGAGGATAAGCTATCCACAAAAGATGCTCAAAGTTACGAGCTAATGATTGTATTTTAAGTCAGTGAAATGCAAATGTTAGCAGATATGAAGTGCAGCTAAAAGTTTAAATTTTCAACCATTGTAATTTAAACTAGATGAAAGCATGCATTCGGGATTTAGGAAATCAGAGTTGGTTGTCCTTCTGTACTAAACTGTGGGGCGGGTTATTAGAGTTTCCAAGAGATTTTTTTTTATGTCTCGGTCGTATGAATTCTGATATGAGATGAGGGTGATTGGATTAATTGCATTTCTCATTGACATTTTGAATTGATATTTTCAGGAAATATGTTTTGCGTTGTGTTCGAATTTAGGCTGATTTCCTTTGTGGTAAAAGAGATAATTACTTGTGTTTTTCATCATTCAAAAGCATAACCTATCTGAACATTGTTTTAGCTTGATTGTATATTATTTAATGGTGAGGGTTGTAATTATTGTCTTAAATAAATATTCTGAAGTTAGGTATTTACGACGTCTGGACCTGGTCATGCAGATGCAATTTCATTGTAAAAGGAGAAATTTGATCTCATTTCCACATCATTCTTACATAATGCTTCTGTTACCCAGGTAACAAGGTTGCCTTCTTTGCTGGAGCAGATTTCACACCTCACGTGATCACTGTTAATATTGGTGAGGTAAGCCTTTGAATCCCTTGTCAAGGAGCACCTATTCTGCCATTAGCGAATTAGTTTTGGATCAAATAATATGGTTTAGCAACATGATTGTTGTATTTTATTCAATTTGGTGTGGGAGATAATTGCAGCTGTCATGATATAACTGATGTGTTATATTTCACAAGTTACTGTACAATACGACATGGGCATGATCATGTGACCGTTTTCACTCTAATGAATTTGTTCAATGTGAAAATTTAAACCTGCTTGAATTTGGGTAGTATTGAAAATCTTGAGGCTCAAATGGCCACTTGTTTTTGACTTGTCGAAATAGAAGGGGTTTCCGCTGTCCTGCTATTGATATACTAAACGAAACTTCTGGAAGTAAATTTTATTTGTTGAATTGTGCAAAAAATTACCAAGACCACCTGCAACTTTGCTTGTGCGAACCAGATTAAACATCGATAATCAGTTAAATAATTTGGAGGAATTAATTACAAAAGTTTTCAGTGATTTGCCATTGCAATGATCTCACAATTTCTGTTCATTCTTGATACATTGTTGCCACTTGTTCCTCATACAATTTTTTCTACTCCTTCAGGATGTTAACTTGAAAGTAATGTCATTTTCTCAACAAGGATCTCGGGCCATTTGTATACTCTCTGCTAATGGTATGGTTTCAAATGTCACACTTCGGCAGTCAACATCTTCGGGGGGTACTCTAACATATGAGGTAGAGCACCTTCCTTGATCATATAACATCTAGGATCCTTTATATTGACGAGTCTATGGGTCCAGTACGTGCATATTCTATAAAATCAGAGCACGCTTGATCTTATAGCTTATTCCATGCTCTGTTTTCTTTCCGAGGCTCATTTTATTTTTTGTTCTCCTAGTCGTTACATATCTGACCGCACTGCGTTCTGATGCGTATTTGGTTGTTTTCTTTCCGATGTTTCATTTTAATTGTTATACGTGCATATGAACATTTTTAGGATATTGAACTTAAATTCTTTTACTAATAAATTCTTATGAACAACCTATGAATTACGAAATAAGGACTGATGTCTAGAACTCGATGCTCTCCGAAACAAAGCCCCACTCAACAATACTCTTGCTCCTCTAACTCCCTTATTCACCTCAGCAGGACCTATAGGCGCTTCCCTTGATTTTTCACTCTCTTTTTCCTTGAATACACAAGCCTAGTGAATCCTGTAATCTAACTTTTGTAATCCCAGTGTGATAAGAATTTTCTTGCTTATTTGAACTCTTTTTTCTGACAAATAAGTGTCCGAAACTGCTTTCACTTGTACATTGTGTTAAAAAAAAGTTGCTGCTTTCAGTTTTTTAGATGTTAAATTTTCAGAGAATTCAGAAAGCCTGAGTTCTTAGCCATTAAAACACCCGATCTGAGAAAACACACTTGGTAACAGCTGACTGTTGCTGTTATTCTAGTCTTTAACTGTTCTTTCTCGTTGATATTTTTTTAAATGCATGTTCAAACTTAAAACTAGAAGTGAACTCTTTTATCGTATATTACTTGTTACTATTAGCCACTCGATGCAATTTTACCCCTGCATCTTATCTTCAACTGTCATGGTTAGCATTAGTCATAGAGGAACCTCATGAACTGTTATGATTATTAGGGTCGATTTGAGATACTTTCGTTATCTGGATCATATATGCCTTCCGAGATTGGTGGAACAAAGAGCCGATCTGGAGGGATGAGTGTCTCTTTAGCTTGCCCAGATGGCCGAGTAATGGGTGGAGGACTTTCCGGCATGCTAATAGCAGCTGGTCCAGTGCAGGTATTATTTTCTCCAAATGAGTCGAATTTATAAGGTCTTAAGTTCAGTACCCAGAGGCACAAATCCATGATTTGTTTAATAGTAGTTTGTTAGTAAAAATATAAACATACATATATGTAGAGTTCGATTTTGAAGAAAATATAACTTACATTAATACAAAATAAATTGTGTGCCTTCCATGGTCGCCAGGTGGTGGTGGGCAGTTTCCAACCACCAGGCCACCAACAGGAGAATAAACCAAAGAAGAGCAGGATGGAACCTACATCAAATGCAATTTCACCTCCTCCCGCCATTAAGCCCATAGGAGATAAAGCAGATTCTTTAGACCCAAATCCAGCTTTTAGAACTTCACCAGTCGACGAAAAACCACCTTCTCCAGAAGAATCAAGAGTTGTCCTCAACCATTCAAACCATGAGGTATCTTGTTGATCGCCATCACCTGCATTTAGAATCTTTCATGTAGATTAGCTGGTGCATTGACCATTTTCTCAACCTTGATCATCAGCGGTATGAGCTCATTGATTCTGTGAAGGTATGAGCTCATTGATTCTGTGAAGGTATGAGCTCATTGATTCTGTGGAGGGCTAACTAAGAGTGTTTAAACAACTGACGTATCTGTCGTCAACAGGTAACATCTCTAGATAGAAGTTTAAGCCTAATAGATAGGAGTTTGATCATTAGGCTTATTTGTTGTTTGTTCTCAGCATGTAGGATCTCGTGCGTTGTATCCCACTTAACGTTATAGGAGTTTAAGTGCAGAAATTTGTGTAAATTATTCATGTTCTAGAATTCTCTGTATCTGAAATAATAACATTTTAAGTTCAATTTCAAAGTCTGTTTCCCAGTGATCTATTCTTGTACATCTTCACTTATCTGAGGCCTCGGCCAATTTTATAACCTTCCCATTATTAAGCTGTAGCCCACCATGCATTCAACGTTTACTCTCTTCAGTAAAACTGATTTAAACACTCTTAGCTAATACTTAAATCTGCAAACGTACTAGAATTGCTGCCCAGAAGTTCTTATTTTCATGTTACAGGATTTAAATGATTAGAAGTATTATAGCATGAAAGTAAAGAGAATATTCCAGTCTTAAGGATATTCACGTCCTTGAATCAAACACTAGAGAAATACATCTTCTCGAAACTGTTTTTTATTGAACCTCCTTGATTCTTATGCCTGTATCGTATGTTCTTCAGATTCTTGTATTCATTCATATTGGGTACCGTACATGTCCCAGAATAGAGACAAGACTCTACTTCCCCAGGTAAAAGTGACGGAGTTCTTGTTTGGCTAAGTGGGAGTACTGGAAAACAAATGGAATTCGATTCAATTGGTTCGAGTTGATCGATTGGTTTTCAGAAACTGACATGATTGTCCCAACTACTCGACCAATCTCGAGGTTCTTTGTCTTTCTTCTCTCCACCCATTGTTAACCTTTTCAATGAACTCTTCCACTCTTCTTTTGAAATCCTCCTCGTCCTCGACGTCCTCGACGTCCTCATGATCATCACCACTCCCTTCAACACTGTCGCTGAAGTCTGGTTCATTTAGGGTCTCTGTCACTGCACACACATCCACTATGGCATTTTTCTGAAGCATGAAATTCTGTTCTGCATTTGTGTTGCTGTGAATGACGATTGAAAGAGGCACATCATCATGATTTTGGTGATCAGAACTGGAGAAGACTGGTCTTGAGGTGAAGAGAACGATGAGAATGATCAAATTGAAGATGCAGAAGATGAACAGAGTGCTGGAAGCCGCCTCGGCAGCTAGTTCCAAAATGGAATCAGCCATGGCTCCACTGAAAATTTTGGTTAAAACTTAGAACTGAAGAGAGAATTGGATCAAGAGAGAAAGATGGAAGGGAAATGAAGCTTGTTTGTTGGTATTTAAAGGGTTTGGTAATGTGGGAAGTGTAACGAGGAAGCTTTTTGTTATGGAAGCAGACCAATTATGTGTTGTGTAAGGAAGTTGAATGGCTTTTTTTAAAGTCAAGTCAAACATTATCACGTGCTGGCTGTTTTGTTTAATGAATTTCAAATTTAGATATGAATTGAAATATGGAGTTTCTCTACATGTTTACCCATCTTCATTTTGGAATTTACAATAATTTGATAATATTTTATTCACCCGGTCGTTAAGGTCTATTAGGGTCTGCGTAGATTTTAGTTCAATTATAAGTTAGTTTTGTGTTCAAAAATTTTTTGAACATTAAAAGTATCTAATAAGTTTCACTTTTGAATTTAATAGGTCTCAAAACTTAAAATGTTGCAGTTCTTACACTAAAAATCATTTCATTTATGTTGCAGTTCTTACACTAAAAATCATTTCATTTTGTACGTAATTGATCTTCGGTTCATTCTACATTATGATCTTCGGTTCATAGCCTACTAAATACAAAAGAGAGTTTAAAACTCTATCGAACATTTTTATGTGTAGAGGTCAAATTGTGCACGCTTTGACTTAATCTCAAAGTCACTTAGTCACTTAAATCGTCTATCTTGTTGCTATAACAAGCATGAACTACAAAGTATTAAAGCTTATACAATACAAGTTTATATAAGTTTAAACCATAATTGAACAAAAACAATAATAACTACCAAACTTAGTATTTTTAAAAAAGAAACACAAATTAACAGCCTCAAGTTTACATGATCTTGGTTTACAGAATGAAAGTTTCAAAAATGTAAAACTATAGTTTGACCACAACAATACCCACCATCTCTAAACTTGAAAGGACTGACTGACTGGCTTCATTAATCTATGACTTCTTCCTTCTTTTATTGCTTGACAAACTGCCATTGTTGAATCCCCTAATATCATTTGTTGTCTCAGCTGTGTTTTGTTTTTTCATACTTTTCCTCCCGCCGAATCCGAACTTCGAATCTCTGAAATCTCTTTTCTTCGGATTTTTCCCTTTTCCACCTCCACCATGTCTTGCCTTCCCTCCGGAGCGATCGCCGGGAGACACCCCTGGCCTCTTCTTACCACCAGACCTATCAAACGCCTTCCCGTCTTCAAACGATAAGTCCATCTCACCGCCTTTATCAGAAAAACCACTCTTCTGCCTCTGCTTCCTCCATTTCTTAACAGACTCAATCTCCTCTTTCTTTTGTTTAGCCCTCTCCTTTAGCTTCTGAGCTTGAATCTCTTTAGCTAATTTCTTCGCTTCTCTCGCCTTCCTTCTTTCCTCGGCCTCCTCCATCTTTTTCTGTTCCATTAGCAAACGGCCTTTCACTTTTACCATGTGGGTATCCGTCTTCACCATCTCTGCATAATAGTCTGGTGGCCTGAGAAAAGGAAGTCCTAAAGATTGGAACTTCTCAAGGGCCATTCTTGTTCCCTGCAAAGCCTGTGTATAGAATGCAAGCTCTCTAGCTAGATCATCATTTACATCTACCTCTTTTTCTTGATCAATATCAAGAGATAGTTTGTGTATCCATCCCACGTTTTCGGGCCAGCTAATGTCTCCAAGCTTATCAAGAAGACCATCAGCATTATATATTGCATTCTTCGACGGTTCAGACAATTTCACATCCTCTTCCTCCTCAGATTCAGATTCAGATTCAGATCCAAAATCAGAATCTTCACTATCAAGATCATCATCTTCCATGGTATCCTCATTTAAGAAGCTATCCTTTTCATCTGATACACCCATTAAAACCTATCGAAAACAATGATCATCGTTAAGGTTAGACCTCTAGACCTGCTAATTCTATCCCAAAAATAGGCGATATAACCAAATGTACGCATTGAAGGAAGACAGCAACAGTTTTAGATTTAATTCCATTAGTATCATCCATTAAATAGCAATACATCTTGAGGAAAAATGACTCTTTTCAAAAATCAGACTAACTATTCAAAAATCAGACTAACTATTCAATTATCAAGTCGACAAAATGACATAAAGATTCAACGCAAACATTTTCAGCATTATGACAGCATTGTTCATCATTTGAAGACTTGAAAACTATGCCATACAAAATATACTTAATACAAGCTAAAGAGGGACGGCGAACAATAATCCTCACGATATAATAACATACGAGGCAACAAGAAGAGCAAGAAAATAATTATAATCAAAATTAATGACTACACATTTTCACACAATCAAAGACTACGAACCAAAATCGAGACAACTGAGGCACTAAAACCAAACAGACAAAACCAAAACATGATTATAAGCGCAAAGGCAAATAAAAGGAAGCGAAGCAACAACGGATTACGAAGAACAACAACGGATTACGAAGAACAACAACAGATTACCGATTTGGATCAAAGAATGAAAATGATTTCAGAATCAAATGCCAACCTTTCTACCGTCGCTTCCAGCTGCTCGAAGTGCTGAGGGAAATCGACGCTTAAAGCCCTTTGATAAACCCTAAAAACCAGCGGGGCAAATTGCTATCGAAGGCCTCAATTTTTAGGGTTTAACAATTTATTGTGGGCTCATAGAAAATATATTTTTTCGGAAAAAGGGAAATTTGATTGGTTAAAAATATTAAATTAAAATAATAATTAAAAAATCATTTTTATATTCATTTTTATATTGATATGAACAATTATTTTAGTAAATATGATAACAAAACAATAATATATAATACATAAAATTTCTTTCAATAATTTCGACATTTTTTTAAGGATATTTGATAAGAAAAAAAAAACATTTTTAAGACTATTTTCGTCCTCTCGTCGCACCATTGTCTTTACTTAAAAATATATTTACTAGTTTCACTTATTCATTACCTGCCCTACAATAACGTCGTCTAGCTCGACTCTAACCGACACATAGAGACTTTATCAACCAGCCCGTATGCTTGTGACCAGTTTAAAAAATCCACAGACCATCATCGTATTGCCAAAATCAAATCAAGAATAAAACACATATACCACCTCTAACGGTAAACTCGAGCTCCCCTGTCATCGCGGTAGCTAATTATTTGATCGTTTAGCGTGTAATTTCTACAAATCAGCGTACTCATCCAAATCAAAACAGTTCGAGATCTTTCGAGTTTTTGGTTCAAATTAGTTAGTTTTAATAATTTGAATCCCAACTTCACTCGAATACGAAGACAATAGTGACAACAAATACCACAGTAACTACATTTTCAACCATTAAAAAAAAATTACTTAAAAAATTTACCACGAAAAAGTAAAAATTGTATTTGATAAGGAAGGTACGAGTCATTTTTATTATTTAATTTAATATGTGTGTTTTTTTTTTTTTTTAAATAGTCAATAATTTATTTATTTTTTTAATCAAAGGGTAAATTCCATTGGCTCAAAAAATTTATAAAATAATTTCATTAATTTTTAATATTCTTAATTAAAAAAAAATTGGTAGGGCTTGGATTTTCAATAAAGCCCATTATTATTAATAATTGTGGCCTTTTATTTGGGAATTTTCTAGAAGTAAAATATGAAAAAATAGTGACATGATTTTAAAATTATTAAAACCCTAAAAATTGGTAGCTTAGGATTTCCTATTGAATAATTCCGACCTACAATTTTGACTTTTTTTTTTTTAATTATTAATTACTACATTTCACTATTCTTCATCGTCAATTTGGTCCCATTCTTTAAAACTTACAAAATAAATAAATAAAATTATTTCATGAACATATTAATTATCTAAAATAGTTAAAAAAAAATCAAACCCATAAATTATTTAAGTCAAAATATTGATGTAATATTTGAGTAAGAGAGTGCATGAATGAACTGAGACCATATCCGAATGAAAGTGACCCTAAAAATATGTTGGTTAAAAATAAATTGATAGTTACTACCGATAACTCAATCGTAAAAACTCTAAAATAAAATATGATTTGATAAGATAAGGAATCACTGCAAGGATAGTAAGATTCGGATGACCTTGTTGATCGAATATCTCAAGGCAAGAATATTGTTTGAGATTCAAATCACTCCACAAGCAAGATCGATCGTGTCTAGCTTGAATGATCCTTGTTGATCAAATATCTCAAACACTTGTTTGAGATTCGAATCACTCCACAAGTAAGATTGATCATGTCAAGCTTGAATGATTCTACGTGCAACCTAGGCTATATAGAATTGCAAATAAACTTAGCCGAAAGCACAAATGCTCTTTTACTATATTTTCCAAGTCTTCTTACAAATACAACATACATGGCTTTGTATAGCCTTCAAATGAAACTATTAAAGGCATTCAAATAGTTGTAACATTCGTACTTAATAGTCATAATTAACCATTATGTAATTACACCATCAGTTATGATGGCCGACGACATCCCGAGACTCGGGATGGCGTTAAGACATATGGACCCTATCGATGGGGATCGAGATGACGAGATGAGATGCGACGTTGTATTGAGAGACCTTGGCCTGAGCAAAGGCAAGGTCGAGCCAAATGAGTTGGCCTAGCGTAAATAAAAAGTCTTAAAATACATTAATGAAATACAATAACTCTAAATTACTCTAAATTGTAATCCACCCAAAATTTATAACATGAAACTTCATTATTCTTCAATGTGGCATGAATTGAAATATCTTTTGATAATTTCAACAATATTTTCTTCACATCTTCATTGAAGTATATTGTATGATTGATGTCTCTTGGTTCATATCATTTGATTGGTTTAAAACAATCTTACGTATGTCTCATATTGGTCTGTGGAATAATTTTCACTCTCAAATGAAATTTAAGATAAAAATAAATAATTTATCATTATTATTATTATTTATATTAATGAAAATTCGCTACTATCTATTTAATTCATAAATTAATTACAAAAATAGAAGGATCTAAATTAATAAATTTTATGGGAAAGTTGTAAATAAATATAAAAGAAATGGGTTTTTTTATTTTTTTTTATGAATTATGTGGATAATATTTAAAATAAATTATTTATTGAGGTGAGAAAGACCCAAGAGCTTACTAGATATATTAAAGTCTAAAGTTGAGACAATATGATATGCTTTAGGTAAAAAAAAAAAAGAACACAACTTTTTTGACTTTT